ACTTGAACATTAAAGTTACCTTTCCCCCCCACGGGCTGCATGTTTTGTCTTTTGAAGAAGCACACGAATTAGTACTAAAAGCTGCTGCAACGATCAAACACACCCACAGAAGGTTCATTGTAGTGATCAGTCTTCAGAGCTGCGAATATTATTGAAAAATTAAATAGATAGGAAGATGTGGCCTGGAAAGGTGGTAATTCTGAACTTTGAAGTATTCGGGGGGTAGTAAAACTTTTCGTTTAGAGACACTAAAAAGAAGACACCAATTTAGGCAATTAATAATCTAATTTCCTCCATTATCCAAAATCCAGTCAAGAGGATTTAGTGAAAAAAACCATGAATTTTACATATGCGCAATACGAAATTACGTTCCCACCAACCCAATACGAACACTAATGAAATATATGTATATACTCATACACAAATTTTATTATGAATACAGTTTTAAACATTCTCTTCAGAATCAACTGTAAAGAAATAGAGGAAATTTTTATGTTTATAGCCTGTTTGATAATTTACAAATGATTTCATGTACTTTAGTATTTACATTCAAGCTTAGAAGTCTTAAAAGTGGAAAAAATTTTCATCTGATGGTAAATAGAGCAACGTAGAAACTATTGTAATTAAGCATAAGAAAGTTAAAAACAGCTCCGTAAGTCTCTAACTTAATCGTAAGGAAGGACATTTCTGATGAACTAATGTATGTAACACTATTTTTTATTATACAGAATACAAGTTACCATCTTAAATCTCTCCGGAATTCTGTGAGAGAAAATTTTTCGAGACATATTTGTTCTATAAGAAAATTGTTATGACCTCATAACTAAATAACTTCTAATTTTTTTTACACTCCCACAGTTCCAGAGATGTTTCACATGATACGAGCTAATGGTCTACATTGTATACGTATACAATATACAGTTCAACATTTCAAGACAAATGCACTGCTCAAAACAATTAAAAGATCATTTTATTAGTCAGTCTCCTCAGTAATACGGTATACAATTCCCGAAAACTTTACAATAAAATCGAAACGAGGAGTTAGTATCGTGTCAAAAAGGTGTTAACCGATCGAACGCATAATATATTCGTTTCGCTTGGTTGGCACTACACAACTGCTAACAATATTGATTCTGTAATTATTTTGAGCAGTGTAGTATTAATTGAAACAATAAAAGTGAGAAATTTCAGAGAAACTTTAATGAACTTTTGGTCAAGATAGAGTAAATTTTATACAAACTTATTATGATTACCTGGCGTCGAACTTCCAACGTCAAAGTACTTGCAAAACTGTCATGAAAAGAGGAGTTTCCTGCATTTATAGGCGAGGATTAATCAGGTTCGTAATCACCCGTATGCACACGTTATCGTAATATTTTATTGCCTCATTGATACCAAAGAGTTCAAGAATTTCTCGGTGACAATGCTTACATACGTAGGTTATTACATGACCTACGTGTATACAGGGTGTCCCAAAATTGCTTCGACTCCCGGAAATGAGGGGTTCCTGGAAGGATTTGAAACAACTTTTTCCTCAGCCGAAAATGTTATCCGAGGCTTTGTTAACGAAACATTCACGAAAAACCACGACCAATCAGAGCGCGAGTCTGGCGGTCGAGCTTCCGCAGTAGCATTGGCTGTGCGCTGTGATTGGTAGCCAACGCTACTGCGGGAATTCGGCCGACAGACTTGTGCTCTGATTGATCGGGGTTTTTCGTTAATATCTCGTTAAATAAGCCTCGGATAACATTTTTGCTGTGGGAAAAAGTTGTTTCAAATCATCCCAGGAGCCCATAATTTCCGAAAGTTCAAGCTGTTTTGGGACACCCTGTATAAATAAACAAACTAATTGTGTTTCTTCAAACAGTCTTATTTCTGTCCATTTATGTATTAGTTACACACATTAATTTCTCGTACCAGAAGTTATGCTTAATTTATGAATATTTGTTTTTGACAAGCGCATTGTGGTCCAAAAGCAAAATTTAGCAACTCAAATGCTTAAACATTTTGTTTTATTTTTTAAAAAATTCACCTCAACATATTATTGAAACATGAAAGATTTATTCTATATGTTATTGTTCTCCTTAACATCTTTCATATCATTAATCTCAGTCAGCAATAGAAGAGGATCCCTAAAATTCCTAAAAATATTTTCGTTTATCTACTTCCATTTAAACAACATTAGAAGTTTCAAAGTTTTTGACTGCTTGAGCTAAATATACATATACGTATGTGCTATTAAATTTTGAGTTTGGTCTCCAGTGGATCAATGGAATTATTAGAACTGAGTATGCGAAGGGACAGAATTTTGTAACTGACTGAGTACAAATTTAATAACAGTCCTTAATAATAAATCAAGTGACAACTTACAATACTCCCATACGGTCGTCTATATCTCACGCGCAAACTGGACTTCTGCTAGGGGAAAATTTGGTGTAGAAGAAGGGTCTCTACCACTTAGTAAATTTAGTTGAAGTACTGAAAGAAATGTTAAACCGAAAGTTTTGTCATAAATTTTAGTAATTCTCGAGACCAAGTGGTAAAAGGTCCGCTCCCTACGCCACACTTTCCTTACCGGAAGCCGAGTTTGCTCGTGGGTGTAGGATTGGTGGGAAGTCATTTTATATATTGAAATACTTATATCTAATAAAGTATTGTAGGTATTCCAATGAACTGTATTTCAGCGTGTCAGATGACTGTAAAATTTCATAGAAATGGCTGGTCTAATGACTATTGAGGGAGGACCTAGAATTGCTGCAATACATTACATAGATGTGACAGCCTACTGTTCTAGTGCAACGGTATTAGAGGAGTCAATATCACAGGTATGCTGCTTTGGACCCCTAACCAATCAAAAACTGTCATAAAACGTTAATGACGGCTGGTAATATAGCGGGCAGTAAAAGAGCTGCTAGGCTGTTGACGTTAAAGTCTGAGAAAAATGTTAATCAACTGAAAAAGGTGTTTGATCGAAGAACTTCAAAATCTAGAAGGCAGTCCTTAAGAGAGGGTGCTTCATCACGTCATGTTGAAGTTGTTGTTCTCCATAAAGATGTACAATGTCGACCGTGGGATTCAATCGAATATGTCTTTCAGTTCATTTAAATATTCCTGAGATCTTGACGTCGACGGCCTGTCATATCATTTGCTGCCCGCTACATGCACACCAGCCGTTATGAATGTTTTGTGACAGCTTTAAGTTGTTTTTGGATTCAAAGTAGCATGCCTGTTATGTTAACTCCTCCCCCACTGCTACACTTGAACAACAGGTTGCCAAACTTCGTATCTTACGGTAATTTCAGCTCTTTCCTTAATGGTCAGTACAACGGCAATTTCTATGAAATTTTACAGCGATCTGAAACACTGAAAACAACATAAGTAATGGCATTCACGGCACAATAAAACAATATACAATTCATTCGAATACCTGAAATACTGTACCGGTTAGAAGAATATAAAAATAGGGAATGAGTTCGCACTCACCCTCTATTGCGCAATGGCTACCGTCGTTAACCATGTACATATTAGGTTGTCCACGGTTGTTAAAAGTCCTAATAACTACCGGTTACATGGCCATAGAGCATAACATACAAAGAAGTTTAAAAATGTCTAACAAATAATCTACATACATAATAATCATAGTAATAATTAGAAAAATTAGAATGAATGTTTAATTTATTTCGTTCCCTAAGTGGTTATTTATTAGGTGGAATCATAAATAACTGCCGTGTTTCTTTCTTAAGTATTTTCCCGTAAGGCAATCGACAATTAACCTTTACTTACTGTATATGTTTCATTATTAACGAATTTAATGACTGTCGTTAAACTAAAGAACCTGTCTCGATATTACTCTTTAATTATTATTAATTGAACGTACGTCGTCGTAATATTATACTACTATGTATATTAAAACTTTGTTTAAGAAACTCGAGTTATAAAGATTTTCATACAGTTTCTCATGAATTGAAATTGTTCTTGTAGTCATCTATAGTCCGTTTAACGAGACAAGTCAATAATAATAACCGAAACTCCCAAAATGGTTATCACCTCCTTTTGTTTATAGTTACTGACAAATTTCGAATTGTGGTTAAGTTTATTAATATCTTAATAAAAGTTATGATTGCTATTATGTATAGAAGTGTAAAATATCAAAGTGTTCACATTTTTAACAGAAAACTCTATCTTTATCGTGCATATGTTTTATCCGAATTGTTTCGAAACAACTGAATCTGTCATGTAAAAGAACTGCATAAAATTTATTCACGCAAATAGAAATTAACATTTAATATTATATTGTATTGGGAAACATGGTTTTTTGTGGACGCACTTTCACTTTCCCGCTGGTTAATGTGCTCGTTTATTTTATATATATTTCAATTCTAAGAATATTATACATGTTTCAGCTCCGATTTGAATCATGTGTATCTACTCTTCCGAAGAAGTCGGGGCAATTACTGATAAATTAATGCAGTTCTATTTGATTAGCGGATGACAAATTTTCAAGGTGGTAACTACATGTAATTATCCAACTCATAGTAATACGGATACGATCATGAAAGGGAACGTCGTGATCATTGAAAAAATATCAACATTTCAAATTTTGTATAAATTCATCGTTTCAGTACTGAATGAAATTAAAATATATCAACACTTGGAAACCTGTTTGCAAAAATGAACACGTTACCTTCGATAAAACGGTATTTTTTTATTACCATTGAATAATAGACTGAACAACTTTTTATAACAGATGTAACAATACTGTTAACATATGATACTCCAAGGAATTTCGCATCTCATTCGTAATCGAGTAATCCGAGGCCACTTTCTACAGTGGAAACGAAGAAGAAAATAACAAAAATTCAGAATACTTGGGCTTCTTGAACATACATAATTATTACTATTTATGTATTACGTATTCTTTAATGGCGTCGTTTTTCTCTTCCTGATATTGGATTCTTTTACTTATTGTTACGTAACAAAGTACTAATACCTTGTATTCACTAGACCACTCCGCAAATGGACAAAAAGGCTGAACACACTAAGAAGCCACAGCAATCAGAATTTTTCTTGCACTGTATGAACAAGAAGATAATTAGTAAAGTATCTATAGGATTTAGAGAATTAAACTGAATTTGAAGAATCATGGTGTACTTACTGGCTGAAGGAACCTGGTACAATGACGTGGTTTTGGAATTGTAGTTGGTTTAGGAGTTGTTGTTGTTGTTATTGTTGTTGTTGTTGTTGTTGTTGTTGGCACTAATGTTGTAGGTGGTGTTGCAGGTAGTGTTGGAAATAGTGTTGGAGGTAGTGTTGGAAATAGTGTTGTGGGTAGTGTTGGGGTTGGTGTTGGGGGTAGTGTTGGAGGTAGTGTTGTTGTTGTTGCAGGTTGTGTTGAAGTTGTTGGGGGTAGTGTTGAAGTTGTCGGAGGTAATGTTGAAGTTGTTGGAGGTGGTGTTGTAGTTGTTGAAGGTGGTTTTGGAGTTCTTCTTGGTCTGCATTTCCTTTTCGTCTTTTTGCGTACATTCTTCACGGGTTTGATCGGGAGGAAATCATCGTCGCTCGACGGGGATGCGGCAATAACTGCAGTAGTGATTAATACAGTGAAAAGCAATAAGAATATCGTCTTCATTTTTGGCTATCGCTCTTTGCGTCAGTGTTCTGGAAAATTAAAAAATTAAGTAAAAATTACCGACAAATTATATCTATCATTTTCTTGTATGCTAGTGTACGCAAACGACAATTATCTATTGTTTGTAGAAATTAATTGAAATATTTACGCACACAATTATAATATATTATTTTTATCTCCTGGTTCTATTTTTGTTAATAAAACCGCTGTTAATGATTAACATTATGTTGTGTAAAATTATGACAGTGTACACTACTCTAGGTAAAGAAGGTAAGATTTGCGTACAATGACCAACTCGCTCATCGCTATAAAGTTTCGACTGATTATTGAAATATACTAATACAGATGTAAGAAATGAAAATTCAAGCACTGTGTCACAGAAGTAATATAGTATTCATACTGTAGGGATTCTGTATTTAGAAAAGCAAAATATTTACGTATCCAGTGAATTTTATACATATTTCAGTTTTGTTCCATGTTTATATATATCTTTACGAAGAAATAAAATACTTCTGTGACAGTTTACACGAATTTTTATTTTTTTATCAAATTTATATACATTAGAACTTTTCCATCGATAAGAATTGAATGTCAACAATTGAGAGGGTAAGAATACACTCCTGATTCACTTTTTGCAGGAACACAATTAATTCTGTCTTTTATACATTCAGAATCTTCTGGGTCTTTACTGAATCAAAATTGCCAACTCAAACTCACTCGTCAAATATAGGTATATACGTTTTCTTTTGTTCATTACATGATTATTGTTTAATATAAATAAAATAAAAGACCAGACTGCATATTTTTCTAGGAATTTATTCTATCAAGGGTTGTATTGAGTTGCAAATAAAATAAAGTCCTGAGTAATTTTTCCTTCAATATTATGCTATAAATAACTAAAATCCGTAGTTAACTAATTACAATATTATCGAATAATACAGAATAAAATAGAATTTGGTAGTAAGTTCTTTAAAGAAAGAATACAGACTTTACTGTTAATTGTGAGGCGAAAATCTTTATTTGTTGTGTTATAAAATTCATCAGTAGTGAAAATGTTTTAAAACTTCACGGAATAAAATCAAAATGTATAGTTATAATTGCTGAGTACTATTAAAAATTCTTCAACAACTGACAACATACGGCATACAATGAAATTAATGAAGCGCCGCTACTGTGACATATAACTCACCGAATGCTCAACACTTCGTCACTGTTTGATTTCGACTGCTATCGTAACGTGATATCCATCATGTATTTATACCGTAGTTGATACAAGTGTTACACTGACAATCGTACACATTTACGAAATTTGGGTATAGAATTTGCGTAATTGACACTTGTCGCCGAAGCTTAAAACGCAAAAGGAGGTGAAATAGTAAAACCTTCTAATAACGACATTAGTATAACAGACAATACTGAAGTTGTACGATATATGAGGCAATGATCTGCGGCGTAGATTCTACGCAATCATTAGAATCAATGAATCTCTGTATGTATTGGATATTAATGGCTGTCCTCCGAAAGAGTATTACAATTGGATGTTCAGTGGTCGATCGGAAATCGACACAGAAACCGAACAATATCCAGAGAAAAAACCATTTTTCTACCATATTACCACAACTAAAAGTGTCGACAACTATTTCTTAAATAAAGATTAAAGATTAACTGGAGTCTTACAAATAGTGCAAAATATTTGAGTTCTCTGTTTGTCAGATTTACACGTGATGTAATGAAAACTTTGACAACTTCTGAGGGTATCAATCTGAATTGAAATATTCAATGAATGTGGACCGTAAATTTGTAGGTATACACTTTGTTAAACCTTTTTCTCGTGTTCAGGTCATGTATGGTAATTATATTTTGGATATGTTTATTAGAATTTACGAATATATTAAGTTTCTAATTTTCTTTCTTTTTTTTGTCGGTTTAACATCGCGTCAACATCATGGATAACTTTCTTCTTCTTCAATTACGAGACTAAAAATATAAAATCATGTTCTCCTTTTTATGACTCACCGTTTCTACTTATAAGAAGTACAGACCACGGTGCTGTATAATATGTATCATATCGACCAACTAACATTCTGCTTATCAATTTCCTGACAGTTTTAGCAATTCGTCTACTTTCTTTGTTGTTCTCATCCTGTTATTTCTTTTCTCGATTCAAGGGCTTTTAAAACGGTAGCTGTTTAGAAGAATGCTTATAAACAGCAATGAGAAGGTAATAAAAAGTACAATAAAAGCACATACTACATAGAATACCTTTTTAAAAATTTATATTGCTAATACTTTGTTCGTAATGCAGATATAATACATGAAGATAAGAATATTCTAAACACAATTCGTAGGCCTACGATATATAGTCACTATAGTTCAATCAGTTATTCATTAGCGGGCCATAGAAAGTACTGCATTCCCATCATTTGTTCCGCTTGAAATTGGTTATGATGGTGGTGGAGTTAGTTTCAGGACGCATCGTCCTGCCCACGGGTTGCACACTAAAGGTGCACAACAGTCTTTGTCATTTGCACACTGGAAGAAATTACATGTTACAATTAGTCTTTAAGATACGTTATAATTATCAGTACTTTTTAAATGTGACAGAAGAAAATTTATAAAATGAATCAAACGCCTTAGAAAGTTTACATGACTTGAAATTACTGTTTGTACGCACTTTCATTTATTACAATAATTCATTTGAGAATAAAACATTCGAAGGTATGTCTGATAGACAAATGTTCAAATTTGATTGATTTTTTGAAAACCAAATCTCATATCGAAACAAATTATTCTGTACTTCAAACCTTTCTTACATATTAAATTATCACATTTTAAATTATATTCTAAGTATTATTCTCACATAAATAGAAAATTGTATTAATCTTCGCTTAACAGGTACCTACTGAAGTTACTAATGAATTTAAAATAAAATCATACAGGAAAATATAATTTTGCAGCAGGAAGTCGTTCAGCTTGTGTTTGTCACAGTATTATACCATGTACATAAATGATTACTTCGTATAGTGAACAACCGTTACCGCCTAGTAGTTCAATTTGAAATGTAGGAAGTTTGTAAATAAAGAATTTCTTTCGATTGTATATGTCCAATTCCACTCAATATATTGTATGTTCTATAATAATCGTCAGTATGCAAACACTTTTCTAAACACACTTTATCAAGAATAATACTAAGAATCATAATTAGTTATAAATCTCACTTAAAGTTAACCTTTTTAGGGACAATGACAAATTATACTGAAATATTAGTACCTTCATATCTATTGGTAAGAACTAGTTTTACTTACAAGGAAGCCAGGTGGTTTGCAGCCTCCAACTAAAGCAAGGGCCAGAGCAAAAATAGATAGAATTGCAAGGAATATCTTCATTCTCGTTATGACCTCTAATTACTAACAAAATAACAGCATATATTATAAATATATTATGAAAATCGAGAATACTTATTAGGAAAATGTAACTTAAGTTTATTACATACCTTGTCTTTGCTTCAATAGAGTTTGTTATTTTCTGATTAGATCTGCGTAGTGTTCAGGATTTATATATACGGTGGACACACTAAACGATAAGATTTTTTGAATTCTCACTTTACGTTTTACCTTGATGATTCATAAGGACACATGCTATGTGCGATTACAACTGATAATGTATACTTTATCGGAGTTCGTAAGTCAGGTAAATGTTATCGACCATGAAGGTATAAGCAGATGTAAACAAATTACGTAAACTTGCATCTTCTGCAAAAGTTTAAAAAATTTCTCTTTTGTAAACAATTGTTTTCGATGCGGATACTATAGTTCTATTAAATTTGATATTATTACGTGCTTTAATGATATAATTGCCTTACTAATCTGTTAATAACTATCTGATCTAAAAGTGTTCACAAACAGTCAATTAAATAGAAGGAAGTAGTCATATTTATTTAAGAGAAATGGTAATAATAATAAATAAAATAATTTTCATTTACTTATAAACTATAGAATGAATAAAATAAAACATCTCAGGAGAAAGTATTCTATCATTTCTAAACGTTAAAAAAATTTTGAACGACCTCCATTCGCATTTGTTTTATGTTGATAGCTAAAAGTTTTTTTTATATTTCGCGATATTACATACGTGCTCACTTATAATTTCGACGTTACACCGACGATTTTATTATTTTGAATTTGGCGAGCATTTAAAAATATTAACAAGTTTCATAGATATATCGTCAATTACTCTGTTTCATTCTTTAGTACGTATACATACATATATAAAACATTTATTTTATGGGTTCGAACGCGAATAAAACCATCTCGATCGTGATTTCGAAGTTCTTACCTTCACCATATGAGAATTTGATATATTTACAAAAAACATAAATATACAAAACGTTTTAAAATACTGCGTTTAACTACAATTAATAAAATCTTCATTCGGTTTGCTTTGTTTATTTAATTTCGATTTAATCCCCACTCTTTGAAATACTTTTACAAAAATATAAATTCGTATAAACGTTTGTAAATTACTTATAAATAGTGGTTGAATGTTAGACGACACGATGTTTACGTAGGTATCTTAAAAAAATTCGGCTCTTTACTGTCCGAATGTAACATATTTGTGAATTAAATTTCGAAACGTACAACCACGATTCGCGGGAGAACGATAATTTTATTCGAAATGGCTATAGTATCCCTTGCTGAAAATATACCTATCCATTCGCAATTATTTAGAATTAGTTGCTCAAATTTACGTGAATAAGTTTTCATGTCTCGCGCGCGTTGAGAAGTGCGTTGTACAATAATCCGCAATGGGTCATGAACCGACGGTATAGTGATTATTAACGATCGTTATTGATTATCATTATTTGCGCGGACAAACTGTGAAATTGAATCGGATTCCAGGATCGCGTCGTGATCATTTTCGAAAACGAACTTCTCTGTCTCGTATCGTGAACGTCATTACATAATTATGTACCCGCGGATCGCCAATAATTCGAGAAAGTA